TGCTGGATACACAGTGAGTCCAGCTGCCCAGCCATCGGGGCACGGGCGCAAGCCATCGGGGCTGGGCCAGCCGCTGCAGCCCCCACTGACACCGTGCGGGACAGAAGAGCCGCCCTGCTGAGCCCAGCCAACCACAGACTCACAAGGTGATAGAATGGCATACTGAAACGGTTTTCAACGTTCCCAACAATTTTTACTGACTTTTCAGAGCCCAAGTCCCTACAATCTTTAAAAAAAATTTTTAGATAGAAATGTATTTGAGCCAAAGAGAGGGTACACCTGGAAGCAAGGTCTCAACAGACGGAGAAGCATCGTTCCTGCTCTTTTCCTCTCATTGTTCACCCTCCTCCCTGGCCCCCTTTACCCTCCCGTCACCCGAGAAGTGTTCACCCCTTGGGACCTCTGACCCCTTCCAGGCCTTGGGGGACATGGCAAGTAGGGCAGGATAGGTTCTTGGGAGGGAGACAAAGGTCTAGGATGGTTCTAGAAGACTTCTGAAGGCCTCGGGGAAGGTGAAGCGACGGGCAGTCATCTGTGTAATCTGAGGTTTAACTCCGTTCACTTCCCACGCACTGACCCCGCGCTCTGCGCCGACTGTGCCGGGGGCTGGAAGTGCAAGGAGGGGACCCAGCCTTCTGCTCCCCGGGGGCCAGCGGGAGAGACAGACGTGTGAACCGACACCCAGCATGTGGTTTGAGCCACACAGCACGGCAGGGCTCTGGGGAAGGAAGAGACTCTGGGCTCGGGGTGCCAGGGTGGAGAGGCTCTGCCCACCCGCCCCCGCCCCCGCCCCCAACCTCGTGGAAAAGCAGCCACGACAACAAGGAGAACACGAAACAGAAACACAAACTCTCGTCTTCAGAGAAACCAGGAGACACCTGTGACCCCAACCCTGGCACCCAGGCAGCAGAGCAGATGGAGAAGTGGTAAATGATTGAACAGAGCCCTGGCGAGGCCAACCCAACAGCCTGCTGTTCCACTGCGGGGCGGGAGGGGGAGTGGTGGGGGTGGAGCCTGAGAGACGCAAACCCACTGGCCTCGCAGAACCCCAGGGAGGCTCCCGAGTAGGAAGCTCAGACATCACCGATGGCTAAGCAGGAGGCTGAGAACAAGGCAGAGGGGGGCGTGGCTTGGGAGTCCGTTTAAGGACCAGTTAGACCCCAGGCCTTCGCCTCCACACTGTCCAGCCCGGCACCCACTCCTCTCTGAACCCGAGCAGGGAACATCCAGCCGGACAGCTCTGGACCCAAGGCCGCTGGCTCCTGGCTCCAGAGCGGGAGGCCATGACAGCCCAGCCTGGTTACTGGGCCTGTGGCAGATGCGATGATGCCGAGCAGGTGATCACTCCCACCCGTCACCCCCACCTCCTGGGCACCGGCATCGTTTCCCACTCCACTGACGTGAGCCTTGGCCACGTGACCTGCCTTGGGCCAGTGGATGTTAGCAGATGCATCCCAGGAGAGACCAGAGCGTGTCGCCCTTGGGCTCGCTCGCTGGTGCTGCCAGAGGAAGGAGCCGTGGTGAGCCGGCTGGCTCGGGGGAGGGAAGAAACATGGAGCAGCGTCCCTGGCAACGGCTGTACAAGTAGCTCCGCCCTCAGAGCACCCTAGGCAGTAAGGGCTATGAAGACGAGGGACCGAGGCTCAGAGAAGCTAGGTCACATATCCAAGATCACACAGCTGGTACATGAATGCTGAAGCCGAGGTTCAACCCCAGCAGGACCCAGCGGGGACCGATGAACCAGAAGACACCCTTGATGGGGACTCCAGGGACAAAACCCCAGGGGCTGGTGGGGAGGGCATTTCAGCATGTCTTGCCTGAGAGGACAGACCTCAGCATCTCACGCTGAGGCGCCCACAATGCCCTGGGGTTCGCTCTGGCCGAGGTGTTGTGTTGGGGGGACAGGCGAGGGGCAGGTTCTGTCCTGGCTCTCAGGGGTGGGAGGACCCTGGGCCCCAGCTCCTGGAAAACTGCCTCTCCGGTGGCGGAGGCACATCCGTTGGACTTGAGAGAGCCCTCCGGTCTGAGGGGGAGGCATGGCCCTCGTTTTGGGAGGGCCAGGGTGTGACGACAGAGACCCATGTCGCATCGTCCTGTCTTGGGGAGGCAGGCCAGGCAGCCGCCCCGGGTCACCAGGCAGACACCAGACACCGAGGCCACAGGTCCAGGCCTCACACTCCAGGACTGCAATGCCAGGGGTCGGGACCACCGCACCAGCCCCCAGACACCCAGCCTTCCCCGCCCCACCGAGCTCACAGGTACAGACAGGGTTGCACTTCCTCCCGCTGCCCCACCAGTCCCAGAGGAGGCCCGACCAGGCCATGTCTGCTGGGGGAGGCCCCTGGCTGGGAGTTGGTGTCCCACCTGTCCCCCAGCCTGGTGCTCGGGACCCCTCACCACCTCTGCAGCCTGCCGCCCCCCCCGCCCCCACCCAGCAGATACCCGGTGTAGCCTCCCTCCTCCTCCACCTCGCCCACTGACCAGCTATCTATCCTCTCGTCCTCATGAGACGTGCAGCGGACGCCCACGGTGCCAGGCCCGTGCCCGGCCCAGGGACACAGTGAGCACCCACACAGAGTCTCCCTTCTGGAGCCCACAGCCCCGCACAGAGGACTCAGCCCCTCGGGCTGAGTCTTGGTGGGCTCAGATCAGAGGCCACTCGGAGGAGGCGGGGCCTCCGAGAAAGTCCGGGAGTGGGGCCCAGCCAACCGAGGGCAGCACCCCTGAAGCAGGACTTAGTGCATCTCACGTGTGGGGGTCGGGGGAGAGCGTGGCCTGGGTTGGGGGGTGGGCATGGCCTGTGCAAAGGCCCAGAGGAGAACCGACACCGGTTCTGACCAGTGAGCAATTGGAAAACAGAAATCGGGCCCGGACGCCCCTGCTCGCACCTATGAAGCTCCCACCCCAGCCGGCTGAGACGCCGAGTCTGGCGTAGGGACCTCCCTCCTTTCCAGACACACCAGTGTGCCCCCCATTCCCTCAAACACACACGCTGGTCCCCACCTCAGCTCTGAGACCCTGCTCTCCCCTCTGCCTGGGGCCCTTCCCCAGACGTTCACTCGCTCAGGCGCCGTCCCCTCTGCAGAGGGGCCTCGGAGCTCCCCTGCCTAGTGAGCGAATGCGAGACTGACTGACTCTGTGCCTGAGTGGATGAGGCACTATGGGTGTGGCAGCACCAGGTGGGCGGGGGAAATCAGCGGAGGAGGAGACGGGGGTGGGGGGCAGGTGTAACGGCTGGGGGGATGTAAAGCCTGGTGGGTGATGAGAAGCCAGGGGAGGCCTTGGGGGGCGGGGAGCAGCCAGTGCCACATGCCCCTCCCTCACCCCCAGGAGCTTCCCCTGAGCCCACCCACTGCTCACCAACTTGGCCAGACAGGAGAACAAGGCCTGGAGGAAGGGCCTCGCCCAGGGCCCACAGCGGCTGGAAGGACAGCGCCGAGAGGAGGGGCGCTCCAGGCCTGTGCAGGGCCGGGCCGGGTCCTACTGTGCGTCGCAGCAGCCAGGATGGCACCTCTGGGAGAACCGGATCCCTGGCTCTCTGAGGGCCTACTACACACCACCCCTATGACCCAGTAGGTCCCGCCCTGGTCCCGAGGAATGGGGCCTGGCACATAGTAGGTGTTCAACAAAGACTCATTTCTTTTTTCCTGCCCTTCTCCTGACTGGTGCTCCCTTGCCCTCCTGGGAAGGGGTCAGGTGGCCTCGTGGCAACGTGCACAAGAGACAAGAGCGCACCTGTGGCACGAGGCTGCCGAGCTCCTCCCGTGTGATCTGAGCGGACCATGCCCCCTCTCCGAGCCCCGGCTCCCTTCTCTGCAAACCGGACGCGCTGACGCTACTCACCAGAGCAGGTGTGTGGGCGAGAAACAAGATAATGGGCGCAGAGCAGCTGGCTGTTAATACAAATAGCCCTCATTGCTCGGCGACCTTGAGGAGTTGTACCACTCATGCTGAAAGAGGGTCTTGGGACAGGTGCAGTGTAACCTCCCCATGACTCCGATGGGGAAACCGAGGCCCAGGGAGAGGAGGGCTTGCTCACGGTCACGCAGCCAGTCGGCGCAAGCCGAGGCAGGGGGGTTGGGGGCAGCCAGGCCTGTGCTCCGGGGCAGGCCGAGCCTCAGACCAGGGGGGCCAAACCTGCCCACCACCTGCCGGCGCCCAGCCTGCCCCTGAGGACGGACTTCACAGCTGGCCACCTGCAGCTGATTTGATGATGGGAAATACTGACTTTGAATTCCAATTAATCCAAATATTATTCCCCCCAAAAGAATTCTACTCTTCTCAGCAGTGGAACTGTATTACAGACATCGTCTTCAATTATTCCTATTGTATTTTGGAATGTTGTCAATTTCCTTGCCCACCCCAACCCCTCGCCCAGCAAGACTGCAGTACTTACTTAATTCTTCACCCTGCCCTCCCACACCTCACCCCACCCCGGGGCTCTCTGGACTCAGCCAGTCTTGGGGCCAGCGCCCCCACCTGGCCCTTCTCTGCGGCTGGTGTCTGGCCCACAGCTGGCGGACGGGAACTTGGACTCTCATTCCAGTGCTCACCCCATGCTCTCTGTGCTCCTGGTGGCACCGGCTAACCCCGCACCCACCTGGCCTCGGGACCCAGCTGTCACCCTCGCAGACATGTGCCACGGTGGCCGGGGGTGGGGGGCGTCTGGTCCCTGGCTCTCGGCCTCCGGCTTCCCTGAGCACCACTCCCTTCCCTCCAGCCCCCTGTGGGAGCCAAGGCCAGCGTGGGTGGCTGAAATCTCCCTGGTAACAGGGCCTCTCCCCCACCCCCAGCCTCCTCCCCTGGGCAGGCCGGTCCCTCCGCCCTCACCGGCACCTGCTCTGTGGCCCCTGGGCCCCCCCTCCCAGCCCCTCCCACACCCTCACTCCTGCTCCCTCCTTCCCTGGCTCACCGTGTCACCATCTGTGGCACAATCCTTCTCTGTCACTCTCTCTGCCACCCCCTCCTTCTCCTTCCTCCTTCCTCGTCTCTGTCCCAGCTCTCTCTCCACATCCCTTCCTCGCGTCCCTTCTCTCGCTCTCTTTCCTCCTCCTTCTCTTCTCCCTGTCACGCATTTCTCATCACTCCCCCTCATTCTGGCTTTCCACCCACTCACTGTCCTCTCTCTCTCTCTCTCCCTCCACCTCCGACCGACCTCCCTTTTCCCTCCCTCTCTATTGGCTCCTGATAGCCTCCCGGTCCCCATTTCTCATCTCTCCTTGGGAGGCTTCTCCCTCCCTCCCCACTGCAGGCTCCTGCCTGCAGACCCCCAGCTGAGTCCCGACCCTCCAGCATGTGTCCTGGGGATGAGGGGTGACGCGCCCGGCACCAGTGGGAAGTCTGGGCTGGAGACCAGATGGAAGAGGCTCGGTGGGCAGACGTGGCCACCGGGGGCCTAGGAGGGGGCCCAGGCCGCAAGGGGTCTGCAAGTGGCCACCGCGTGAAGCCCCCGGCTAAGGGGTGCTCGGGGGGCAGCTGGGCACTGTGCAGGGAGAGGGGCAGCAGAATGATCACCAGCTTGGCAGCAAGGAGGGGATCCCTCACCCCACGGGCAGGTAAGGAGGCTGGGACTGGGGTGGGGTCCCGGAGGGTGGGATCCTGGAACCCCTCCCCCCTACCACCCAGGATAAATTTGGGAGGCTGGGGCTGGTGGCTAGGAGAGGGTAGGAAGGCCCAGAAAGGAAAGAGGCTTTCCTGTGACCTCTTGGGGGGCTGTGGGGGTGGGGGGACATTCATCTTGGCATTTTGTACCACGATTCTAGGATCTTGGAGTCACAGCACAGCAGAGCGTCAGAGCTGGAAGAAGCCAGAGGCGTCGTGCTGCTGGGCCTCCTGGGCTCCCGCGCCGGCTTCCCCGAGTCCCTGCCCGTGCCGGGCGCTGTGCTCAGCACGCTCCCCAGTAACCTGCACCACAGCCCTGCGAGGTGGGTATGCTCGTCGTCGTCTTGATAGGAGGCACCTGAGGTGCAGGGGAAAGCAGTGACTTGCCCAAGGTCGCACGCAGTTTGGCCTCATCGCTCTGTGGCAGAGCCGAGCCCCGTCCTAGGGCTCATGGGCGTGTTCCTGGGGGTCAGGTCCCAGGCCGGGGGTGGGAGTAATTCGGTCGGCAATGACCAGCACTATGCAGGGCCTCCGGGGGGAAGGCCTGGGGCAGCAGCAGAGGGCAAGCAGAGCGCGGCTCGCCAGGGGGCGCCGGCCCGCACTGTCCACGGCTGCCCCGTCCCTGCCTGACTCCTTTAAGCCCGAGGCCTCCAGGGAAGCCAGCAGCACCCGGGGTGCTGATGGTTTCAGAGCAGAGCGAACTGGGTTTGAATTCTGACCTCCCGCTCACCAGCTGAGTGACCTTGTGCAACTTACTGAACCTCTCTGAGCCCCAACTTTCTCCTCTCTGGAAACCCGCCCTCACGGGCTCTGTGCGAGGATTTCATAACGCGAGCTGGAGGCCTCTGCCCCGGAGCACTGCCCGGCCTGCACTGCCCCAGTGGGGAGCTCTGCCCGCTGAACTTCCTGGTCTGTCCACGTTTCCCCGACGTCCTGGGTGCTGTGCTGGCAGCCGAGGGTACAGCAACGCAGGCTCAGGGCCCCTGCACCCGAAGGCCAGCACTCAGAGGGGCCGGGGAGGGGGAAACACACACGTGGAACTGCTGGGGTGCCCGGTGGCCCCGAAAGCGCTGTCCCGAACTGCTGTGGGGCTCAGCGCAGCTATGCACCCCCCCGGGCCTCCATCCTCTGAGGAGTCCACCCCCAGCTTCCAGGCGCGCTGTGCCAAAGATAAACCAGACGGGGAGGAAGAGCCCCTCCTCCCCCAGGATGAACTAGATCATGCACAGAATTCCTGCTCTTGAAAGCAAAGGCGGCACCTAAATTGCAGGTCTGTCTGCCGCCGCCCCCGAGAGCTGTTTCTGCCTGGCTTTCGACACACCCCGGCCCCTTGAACTTGGCCAGGGGAGATGGGCCCAGATAAGACTGGAGGCAGGGCGTCTTTTGAGGGGGCAGGCGCTCTGCGAAGAGCTCCTTCATTCCTGGTACAAAAGCAGGGCCTGGTGGGTCCCCCATCTCCCACCAGGGCCGTGTGGGGGTTAGTGCCTGTGCTGGTGTGTGCGGGTGCACACGTGTGTGACCGGGGCGGGATGGAGGCTGTCCCCGGAGCTCGCCCCCAGGCTCCCCCGGGGGCATCTCTCCCTGCAGCCTGGCCATCAGTCTGCCCAGCTCGCTCCTCTCCTGGGAGCCCGGCGCTCCCTCCCGCCTCCGCGCTGAGTTGGGCTGTCCACCCGGAGGAGGCGAGGCGATGCTCTGAAGAAGCTGTGCGCACCGGGAGGCAGGTGGGTGGGCGAGTGGGGGAGATGCAGGGTCCCCCCGCCGCCCGGCCGAGGAAGCCAGGGCTCTAAGGTCCCAGATGCCACAATTCCAGGTCTAAAAAGGGCTGACGCTGGTATCCTGGAACTCCAACCTTCTCTGATTCAAAGACACACAGTCAAAAAATCTTGGACTCTACAACTCAGTTTGAAGAAACGAAAATTCTATTCCCAGGCCTTCGAGAGTCCGTCTAGGGGGTTGGGTCTGTGATCGTAGGAGTTCAAGGTCCTGAGGACCAGCGGGAGCTCTGAACGGCCAGCGGGGGCGGGGGTGCCGGATGCCAGCTGGGTGCCCTGACCAGCCGTGATGGCAGGCAAGGGCCTTCCGCAGGCCTGGCCTCAGTCTGCCAGCCCGGGAAGTGGAGGTGGGTGATGATGGGTGGTCTTACGGGTCCTCCCAGCTCTGCCCCTTCACGGTCACGCGCCCAGAGCGTGCGAACTCACTGTTCTTCTGTTCCTTGTCCATACATTGGCAATGACAGACACTACTGCCTTCCTCATAGGACCCACAGGATGGGGCATGTCACCAGCTTAGCCTAGAACCTGGCGATCGGTCTCCGTGACCAGGAGCTGGCAACATGGTTAGGACTCCATGAGCCCACTGTCCAGAGAGCCCCTCCCTTACTGACAGCGTCTGTCCCAGAGTCCGGGGGGCTGATGAGAGCCGGGGTGATGAGAGGCTTGGGGACAGGCTGGGGGTGTCTCCCTGGGCTGGGAGGAGCAGGGAGGGGTGCTCTGAGCCCAGGCAGCCTGGGGTCTCATCAGGAGGAGCCACAGCCAAGGGGTTCTTTGCCTGGTGCTCGGAAGCCTTGGAAGAAGCCCCAGGTCGCCCTGCCAGGCACGCGGGCACGCTCACCCACTCAGACGTGTTTGCCCGGGTCTCGGCACCTCCCTTTTCCGGGAGCTCTGCATCTGCAAAGCGGAGTTCCGAGACGGGAGGGCAGACCCCAGGTTCCAACTGGTAGCATTTCAGGCCCCGTTCTGGGCTGGCAGGAAGATACTGGGTATTGGGGAGGGATCCTTAGGAAGAAGTGGGAGGCCCAGGCTAAGGGGAGGTTCCAGGGTGCAGCCCTGGCCCCCAGCTGGACCTCCTGAGAACCAGGAAGTCCTGCGGAGGGAGCCAGCAGGGGCCTTTCCCAGCGGGGCCCGAATTTCCACCATCAGCAGTTCACGCCCCCGCTGCACTAAGACATGTCCACTCCGGTTCCTCTCGCTCATTTGCATGCTGCCTCAGACACTGAGGCGGAGCGTTCGCTTGTGCGACAGGGACAGTTGGGAGACAGGAGAAGGTCCAGAGCTGAGAGAGAGCGTGTCTGCCCTCACGCAGAGTCAAGTCTGGCGGGGGAGCCGGGAGGAGTCTCAGCCCCTCACCTGCACGGGAGGTGTGATAAGGAGGTGCCAACAAGGTCAGCGGGAATGCTGGCTCCCACTGAGCCGGGGGGCACGCCCTAACCGACCTCCAAGCCCCCTCTGCGTGTCCTCTTCTCAGGGAAGCCGGGCTTGCTGGTGCTGGGGGAGCTGGCTGTTCTTGTGCCTACTTCCAGCAGTTGTGAGTTTCTCTACCATGTCTCCCTCTTTGGGGAGAAGGAGCCCCCTCCCCCCAAGTTCACAGCCAGTCATTGCGGCAGGGTCTCGCAGGGGCAAAGTGGGATGGGCCAGACGGAGGAGGTCCTTCAGGGCTCCAATTCCCAGCGGAGGGGACACCCCTGAGCCCGAGGTTCTTACTCTGATGAAAGCTCTGAGCTTTCAGAGTTCAGAGGGTTCATGAATGCTCTGAAGTTTGTCTGGAGACCCAAGTTCAAGGGTAAGGACCCTGTGATAGGTGGCAGTGTTTTCAGATGTGAGGGCGGAGACCTGTTGGTGGTGTCTCAGTTCGTTCGGGCCCCTGTAACAGATTACCCTTGACTGGGTGACATACATGCAACAGACATCCATTTCTCACAGCTCTAGAGGCTGGAAGTCCAAGATCAAGGTGCTGGCCTGCTGGAGGGCCTGCTTCCTGCGTCACCGACGGTCATGTTTCTGCCGTGTACCTCACGTGGCAGAAGGTGCCAGGGACCTCTCTGGAGTCTCCTTTCCGAGGGCACTCAACCCATCGGTGAGGGCTCCACCCTCGTGACCCAGTCACCTCCCAAAGTTCCCCCCTCCTGATGCCGTCCCGCTGGGGGTTAGGATTCCGACATATGCATTTGGTGAGGGACCATTCAGTCGACGGCAGTGGGTGACCCACTTGGGGCCCTGCTGGCTGTCACCCTCTTGTGTAGAAAGGGCCAGTGTCATCTGATGCAGCACTAGGACTCCACTGGGTGGCTACATAAAGTGCGCTGGCACCCGAGGTGTTTGGAAAGCGCTGGGGTTGTCACCGGCCGATTGAATGACCCACTGATGCCTGTGGTGGATGTTTGTGTGGCGCTCACCCCATGCACAGGTGAAGGGACACGGCGGGACACAGGTCAGTGCCGGCCCCTGCCCTTCAGAGCCAGGCAGGCCCGCATCCCTGAGCCATGGTGATACAGGTGGTCAGGTTACCTCTCTGAGACTCAGTTTCCTCATCGGGGAGGTGGGGGTGCCTTGCTGGCCTGTGCAGTGAATGAGCCGGTGCGTGCGAAACTCTGGCCGAGCACAAGTTCAGGGTGCTGAAGGTGGGGGGGGGGGGGCTGAGAGAAAGCCATCCTGGCCCTGACCTGGCTGTGTCCTCCCTCCTCCAGGTCAATAGCTGACTGCTGACCACCCTCCAGCTCAGGCATGGACACCCCTGGCTACCCTTCCTCGGTGCCCGCGACCTCAGAGCCTGGGAATGCCTCCTCGGCCTGGCTGCTGGATGCCACCCTGGGAAACGTGTCTGTGGCCCCGAGCGCGGCCGGGCTGGCCGTGCGCGGGGTCCTGATCCCGCTGGTCTACCTGGTGGTGTGCGTGGTGGGCCTGCTGGGCAACTCGCTGGTGATCTACGTGGTCCTGCGGCACACGGCCAGCGCGTCCGTCACCAACGTCTACATCCTCAACCTGGCGCTGGCCGACGAGCTCTTCATGCTGGGGCTGCCCTTCCTGGCTGCCCAGAACGCCCTGTCCTACTGGCCCTTTGGCTCCCTCATGTGCCGCCTGGTCATGGCCGTGGACGGCATCAACCAGTTCACCAGCATCTTCTGCCTCACCGTCATGAGCGTGGACCGCTACTTGGCGGTGGTGCACCCCACCCGCTCGGCGCGCTGGCGCACGGCGCCCGTGGCCCGCATGGTCAGCGCGGCCGTCTGGGTGGCCTCGGCCGTGGTGGTGCTGCCTGTGGTGGTCTTCTCGGGGGTGCCCCGGGGCATGAGCACCTGCCACATGCAGTGGCCCGAGCCGGCGGCGGCCTGGCGCGCCGGCTTCATCATCTACACGGCCGCGCTGGGTTTCTTCGGGCCACTTCTGGTCATCTGCCTCTGCTACCTGCTCATCGTGGTGAAGATGCGCTCGGCCGGCCGGCGGGTGTGGGCGCCCTCGTGCCAGCGGCGGCGGCGCTCCGAGCGCCGGGTGACGCGCATGGTGGTGGCCGTGGTGGTGCTCTTCGTCCTCTGCTGGATGCCCTTCTACGTGCTCAACATCGTCAACGTGGTGTGCCCGCTGCCCGAGGAGCCCGCCTTCTTCGGCCTCTACTTCCTGGTGGTGGCGCTGCCCTACGCCAACAGCTGCGCCAACCCCGTGCTCTACGGCTTCCTCTCCTACCGCTTCCAGCAGGGCTTCCGCCGCGCCCTGCTCCGGCCCTCCCGCCGCGTGCGCAGCCAGGAGCCCCCTGCCGGGCCCCCGGAGAAGTCGGAGGAGGAGGACGAGGAGGACGAGGGTGGGGAGGAGGGTGGGGAGGAGCGGGCAGGGAAGCCGGGGGAGGAGAAGGAGATGAAGGGCCGGGTGAGTCAGATCGCACAGCCAGGCACCAGCGGGCAGGAGCTGCTGCCCGGCCACGTGGCTGGCAGTGAGCGGCAGTTCCTGCCCCAAGAGCCCGCAGCCGGGGAGAAGCCGGGCACACTGCGCGTCAGCTGTGTGTAGGGGTCCGAGGAGGGCCCCGGCGGCCCGAGAACTGAGCGGAGGCTGTGGGTGTGCCTCGGACATGGCGCTCAAGGTGCCGGGGGCCCACGATGGGACGTGCAGATCCCTCCGCTGCGGGGACTCGCTGTCTGGGCCTCACGTTCTCTCCTGGGACTCAGGGGCGTGCGTCACCGGATGAGAAGACTGGAGGGACATCATCGCTGGGCTGGCCCTCCTGCGGGGGGCCCAGGTGAAGGGGGTGGGTGCAGCCCGGCTGTCCCCTTCAGAGACAGAGCACCCTGGCCGATTGGCTTGAATCTTGGCCGTCGGAGGGACAAACCGAGGCCTGGGTCTTCTGGGCTCAGAGTCAGATTTGTAGGAGAGGGACAGGGGCCCTGGTTCACAGGGAACTGGAGCAGGGCCGGGAACAGAAGAACACCTTACCCCACGGAGGGGAGGGGCATGCGAGCAGCGCTCCCCTACTCTCCTCGAGGCCTCCAGCCACCTCTTCTTCTCTCTGGGCGGCAGGGCTGGCCTGCTGAGCGACCCAACCACCTCTAGGCCCTCTTGGCCCCAGGTGGTCAGGCTGGGACCCCTGTGCTCCTGGACACGAGGAGAGGAGGGGGGTGTTCCAAGAAGCTCATGATGTCCAGCTTCCGGGTCCCTTACTGCTTTGGCCCATCGGAGACCCCGTGTCTAGTTTTGTATTTGCAAATTTTGTATTGCTTTTCTTAAAGAGGGATCCCAAAATGCATACGCTTAGGCCGCCCGAAGCCTAGCTCAGCCCCTGTTGAGGGCAGCCCACCGACCCCCAAAGCAGCTCTGTGTGCTGCTTTGCCCCCGTGTGTGCTGTGTCTCTGGGGGTCTCTGGGTCTTGGAGAGGTCCGGGAACCTCCCCATAGGAGAAGCTATGCCTGCTCCTCCCCTCTCAGCGGCCAGGATGGCGGTGAATTCGGCCCAACACAAAATCGTAAATGCACTTAAAACATCATGAGACTTTTTTGTGGTTATGGGTTGCAACGTGTTTACTGTGTGGCTCAAGACAGCTCTCCTTCTTCCAGCGTGGCACAGAGACGCCAAAAGTTTGGACACCCCTGATCTAAACAGTGCTGAGAGGAGGAGGAAGAAGAGGACGGGGGAGGAAGAGGAGGGAGAAGGATGAGCACTAGGAGGGGGAGGGTGGAGGACAGATCTGTTCCGTGACCTTGGAGCTGTCCTTGGCGCCTCTGGAAGGAGCTCAGTGGCTGCCCCTGTGAAAGCCGGGCTGCCTGGCCCGACCAGCCTCAAGGAAACGATGCCATCCCCTGGGAAAGCGAATGGCCTGGGAGGTGCAGGGCCAGCCCCCACCCCCCGCCCCGAGGGCCTATCAGTGCTGGTAAGAAGGGCTGGGCCTTGACGGCCGCACTGAGAAGCCAGGCCTGGCCGGTCGGGAGCGGGCCCCTTGCCCTCTGCATCTCCCCAGGCAGCAGACTGGAAAGGTCCGGGGAGGACAAGACAAAAAGTGGGAGCACAGAGAGAGGCCAGGGTCCAAGGCTGGGCCCGGACAGCCGGGACGCCCTCTGAGAGATGACCCCCGAGACCCACAGGGAGCCTGGCCCCAGGGACGGTGGGACCTCTGGCTAAGCCTCCGCTCTGCAGAGGGTGGGGGGCCCTCGGGGAAAGCACACAGACCCTGGCTGGGGAGACCCACATCTTCGACACACCTCCAGGCCCTGCCTAGCTGCAACCTCTCTGAGCCTCAGTTTCCCCATCTTAAAATGGGTGCGGTTGTCCCAGCTTGCCTGGCTCCTGGGATTTGGGGAGGGAAATGGGTCAAGCCAGGTAAGCTGCCACATGCACTGGAATGGGTGGGGGTGGGGCGTATCAGATTGTAAAGTAGGGGTGGCCCACCCCTGCCAGGCTCAGCTACACCCCCTTCTCCTTCATCCGACAACCTCTCTGTATCTGGTCCTTGGGGGTGAGGACAAGTCCAAGGTGGACTTGGGGGTCAGAGGCCAAGGATCATGGAGGCAGGACTTAGGGGAGTGTGTGGCCCCCTTAGGGAACTGGGGGTGCAAGTGAAGAGGGCCCCCCGGCATTCCAGCGTTCCCTGGCCAGCCCTGCCTTCTTGATTCCTGGGCCCGCGGAGCCTGTTCTGCAAGGGTGGCTGGGAGACCCCTCAGGGAAATCCTTCGCTGCTTCTGCCCCCAGCTCTCGTCAATAAAGACGGTGTCACGTGACAACAGCCAGGGCCTGGGCCGATTCTCTGCCAGGTGCCGTGTGTCTGGATCGGTGTGCATGGGTGTGCACGCGTGGGTGTGCGAGCATGTGTGCATCCATCTCCGTCAGGATGCTCCCTGTACCCCTCTCTCAGCTCCGCATCACACCCAGCCTCCCAGAGCCCCGCTCCTCCAAGGAACACGGCTGACACTCCTCGGCCTGCACTCCTGCAGATCTTGGTGGAAAAGCAGTAGATATACTCTCTTCCGGAGTCCAAATCTCAAATCTCAGGGAAGGAAGCTGATTGGTTCCAACTAGGTCACATGGTGGCCTCTCGGGATAATAACCAAAGACAAGGTGATGGAGGGCCATGACTGGCCAGGTGTGGGTGATGCGACCATCCTTCCAGCCAGAGAGAAGCGAGAACTCTGTGATGGGGAGTCCGGCCTGACCGATGGGAGAGGAGCTGGGTGGGGGACAGACTGCAGCGGCCAAGGGGGTCAGCCAGGCTGCAGCAACAGCAGGCTGGGGGGGGGGGGTGGGGAGGTAAACACAGTTCAGGCGCCCAGTAGGTGCTCAGGGCATCTCGGCTGTATCCATGGGGGCAAGTGCTGGGTGGGGATGGTGCCCAGACCAGGGTGCTGCCTCCTGCTACTGGACCCCGCAGCCCCCCAGGTTCCCTACCACACCATGTGTCGCTGTCTGTGCATGCTCATGTGCACATGTGTGTGTGTGTGGGGGGGGGTCCCACTAGCCTTGCCCCTCCAGGCAGGGACTGTTTCCGATGCATCTGTGTTTCCAGGACCTGGCAGCACTGGGCCCTTCCTGTGAGTCTTTGGACTAAACGAATGAATGAGGAGAATTCCATTTCACAACTGCAGGGGGCGATTTGCCCATTGTGACTCTAGCTTTCTTTGGATTTGTAAACGGCGGTGACCCTGAATAAACAGGAAGTGGGGAGGAGCAGAGGGACAAAGGGAACTTGTATGGAGGTTTGGGGCTGGAGTCTGTGGTTGCGGGAACCTCAGGGACTGTCAGTGAGGGGTGGCACTGGGGCTGTGAGGCTGAGTTTACGGGAAGGGGGGTGATGACCCTCCCTACTGAGTCCTCTTCTCCAGACATCCCACATGCTCAGACCCAAGACCTCCCCTTGAACTTGTCTCTCAGAGGTGGTTGCCAGGTAACAGCCCACGCCACCACGTCCTGGACCGGACTTCACGCATCAGCGTGAGCAGGGGAGGAGAGGAGCTGGGGGTCCTTAGGCCCTGCAGAAGGGGTGGCTTCAGGGCCTCCTCACCTGCAAGGGATTGGAGAGGCAGAGGCCACTGTCCCTTGGGAAGGGGACAGCCTGGGCTCCACACACACAGAAGAAAACATTCTAATTAAAAGTGTGAGGACCACAGGCAGTAATGTGAAGGGCTCTCCCTGGAGTTGTGCCGGGCTGTGGTTCCCCCAAGGTCTTGGTGTGCTCCCCCATCTCTGGCAGGCCCTGGGGAGTCCAGCAGTGAGGGCACGGCATCCCCTAAAAGTCACAAGACCTGAAGTCGGCGGGGGGGGGGGGGTGGCTGGGCCCTAGGCCCACTCTGCCATGAACCTCCTGTGTGGCTCTGGGCCATTCGCGTCACCTCTCTGGGCACAGTTCACTAAGTGTGCAAAGGTCTCCTGGCACTGGGCTGGGGGTGCAGTGGAAGGAAACAGACCCGATTCTTGTACTCTTGGCACTCACAGGCAGCCATGCAAGCAGATGTACCTATCACCATCCAGTGGGGAGGGCAGCGAAGCTCGCTCTGGGGGAGCAGATCTGTGGGGAGGGTCGGTGGCCAGGGCTGCACCAGGAGCAGAGGGTGTGCCTGAGTGTGCCTGGCGGAGGGACCTACCTGCATTAAGGTCTGGAGGCTGCTGGCTGCAGGGAATGGGACGCAGAAGTGAGACCCAATTCAGGGACGGAGATGGTGTCAGACAGGACCTCCCAGAAGGCTGATTCCTGTGGTAGGTTGAATTGTCCCCAACCCCCAATTCATACGTTGAAGCCCTAACCTCCAGTACCTGGGACGTGACCTTATTTGGAAATAAACTCCGAAGGAGTCTAGAATCACAAGGTGCAGATGTAAGTGGTTAGGACGGGGTCCTGCTGTGGCGGGGCGCGCCCCCATCTAACAGGGCCGGTGTTCTCAAGAAAGGTTTAGACGCAGGCCTGCGCACAGGGAGGACACTGTGGCGACGCTTCTACACACCGAGGAACACCAAAGGGTGCCTGCAAACCGCCGGGAGCTGGGAGACAGGCCTGGGGCCCCTCAGAAGGAAGCGGCCCTGCCTGCCGCCTTGATCTTGGACTTCCAGCCTCCAGAGCGGAGAGGAAATAAATTCCTGTTGCTGACGCCCTTTAATCTGTGACGCTTTGTTACAGTAGCCTTTGCAAACGAGTACAATGCCCGCCTGCAGAAGAGAGGCAGTGGCCCCCGCCCCACTCCTGACTCCGGAGGACGGATGGACTAACTGGTTCATTCTTTCCTTCAACGAGTGTTTAGTGGGCAGCTGAGGAGAGCAAGCAGCTGAGAGCAGAGAGGCACAAGGCCGGTCTTTCAGGAACCAAGAGAGAAAGAGGCAGTTTCCAAGCACCGCCTCCGCCGCCTCCGATCTGGAATTGCCTGGGTGTGAATCCCAGCTCGTCCATTCATCACCTGTTTGCCCTTCGGCCAGCTCATCAAGCTTTCTGTGCCTCAGGTCCCTTTTCTCTGAGATGAGGACAAGAACAGATGTCTCTATGGTTAGGAGGTTTAAGTGAGTTCGTATTGATAAACAGCTTAGAACAGTGCCTGGTGCATTGGAGGTGCCGTGCGCTCAGTAAACCTGAGAAGCGGTTTCAGCAGAAGCCCAAACCTCTCCGTGGGTGGGGGTGGGCGTCCCCTCAGGAGGGGTGATAGTCCAGCTGCGTGTAAAGAGGGAGTCTGTACACAGGGAAGGAGGCGTGGGAGACATCCGTCCCAGGTACAGAGAACGGCTCTGAGATCCGTTCCACAGCTGGAGACAGTGAGGCCTGCGTAGGTCATGTGACTTGCCCAGGGCCACAGCACCAGAGACCGGAGCAAGAACCCAGCTTTCCTGGCCCCCAGTCCAGTGCTATAGTTTTTTAAAACTGCGAAAACGAGGGCTGGGGTGCCAGGAGTGCTGCTGGGGGTGGAGAGAGCTCGGAGACCGCTGGCCCCAGCTCCTTGGTGGCTGCCGGGCAGTGGAGGACAATGCCCTCAGCAAGACCTAACAGGCAGGAGGGGCAGCCCAGGCCCCAGGGTGCCTCAGTCGCCCCCTGCAGGCCCAGCTACTGTCCAGCAAGCCCCACAGCCTTGGCACGTCTGGGCAGTGTGCACATGGGGGTGAACGACAGGCACACACTCACGCTCGTGTGTGAGTGCGGAGGGCACGACCAGCCTTCACTTTTTCACAGGGCCAAAAAAGCACCCAGGCCACACCTGGCATTCTCCAGGGCCCCAGACACCTCAGGGTTTGGCTCAGGCATTTGGGGATGCAGCCTGTAGGAGCCAGGAGCCCATGTCCTCCATGGCCACCTTGATAAAGGTGGGGACGGGGGACCTGCAGGATGTGGCCACTCCGTCCTGCTCTCTGCTTTAATGACCAGGAAATAAGTCAATATTTGCACACGGGAACTGCTGGCCCTGTGGCACTCGGTCAACAGCCAGGAGCCTGTTTGTTTTCTCCATCTGTGAGAAGAGGGGGCTGGTCTGCTCTTCACCCTGGGCGGGTCTCTCCTCTCTGGCCTTAATTAAGTGGCCTCAATGACGAGGAGGACAAAGCAAACACAGTACAAAGCAAAGTGGCAAGTGAGCTCTCGGCCACACAACCGCGTTCCAGCCTCAGCGATGCCACTTCTTAGATCTGAGTGCCTTTAGGTTAGCTTGGGAACCTCCCGGAGCCTCAGTCTCCTTATCCACAAAACGGGCTCCAGAGCCCCATCTCACAGGACTGTCGCAGGACCCTGTGCTCTGTGTCCCGCAGGGGGCGCCGTGGGCCTCCATCACACCCGGGCTCCATTCGGGCGGACTCGGCTCTATTCGGCTCCACTCGGATCCATTCGGTCAGACTCGGCAATGTTCGGTCAGGCTCACTGGGCTCGCCTCCGTTCGGCTAGCCTCGGCAGCTCTCGGCAGCCCCGGGCTCGGCTCGGCCAAGCTCGGCTTTGCTCGGTTCTGTTCGGCTCCGCTCACCGCTGGACGCGCAAAGGGCGCTCCCAGACCCCACAGCCGTTCCTCCCTCACCCCTGCGCGTCCAGCAGCCCGGACTGCGGCTCCGAGGCCGGAGGTCGGAGCAGAGACGCGTCTCGGTTTTCGCGCCAGCGGATGTACACGCCGCGGGGGTGGGGATTAGCCGAGCCCTGAGCCGTGCTGAGCATGGCCGCGACCGGTGGCAGTCTTTCCCAAGTGCTGAGAATGGAGCGGGTGCTGATGGAGGGGCTCCCCGGGCCTGCGTGGGGGCGGAGGGTTTCCCTCAATTCTCCGGAGGGAGTCGGGGAAGACGAGCGCTGTCGCTAATCGACGGTAGGGAGGGAGCCAGAGGCTGCCCCCGTTTCCCAGAGCCTCAGTTTCCCCTTCTCTAACAATTAACAGAGTCCAGTGGGCCTGGGACGGTGCTGGCTGGCTCTTTCCTTCTTTGGGCTTCTTGGGGATTCAGTTTCCTCCTCTGAACTGGGACAAGTCCTCTGGTTTGGATTAACACCTTTAGGATGGGTCAGTCATGCGTTGCAGAAAGCCCAGGATGGAGGAACTGAGTCCAGAGAGTGAAGTCCACCCAGCTAGTCAGAGGAGGGCCTCGGTAGAACTAGGAAGCCCAGTGAGCGCGCGCTGGTGGGAGACCGAAGGTCCCATGGGGCCCTCTGCCCACTTTGTGGAGAGTGGGGTTTGGAAGAGCAAGTTAGGGACTGGGCGCCCCAGCCAGCCCCTAGCGCCTCTCGGTGGGCTCTGCATCCTCACCCTCCCCTCCCCTACGCCCTTAGCTCCCTGAGAAGAGGGTGGGATGGGTGCTGTGGGGTGGGTGCCAGGTTGGATGCGAGCATCTCAGGCTGCCAGACGCGACCATCCTCTCCACTGCCACTTGGTGGCGCTCGCAGTTTCCTTTGTGTGGTTTCTGAGTTGGTTACCGTCCTTGAACAACTGGATCAGGGCCTTTCGGGTCACAACTCGCACCGCTGATTCCAGGAGTCGCCCGGATCTCTCTCGATGTTGAGCAGGCACACGTTTTATTTTTTAAATGCACTCAGGGTTCCCACGGCTGTGTACGCACTGACTAAAATGCCACTATTTTTATACCTTCTCCCCGCCCGGGGCTGAAAGGCAAACAGTGGCTAAGAGCTGGGTTTGGAGTCAGTGAGTCTGCGCCTCACTTTGCTCATCTGTGTGCATGAGGAGAGGAGCTTAGCCCCTCCGAACACCCAGAGTTTAACAAGGAGAAGCACCCGCTGGGTGTCCCTCCAGGCTGTCAGGTGGCCTTGGCTTCCTCACTTCCCCCGAGCCCCAGGCACGGAGACATGCCCCAGGTCGCACTTGGAGAAGGCGGCGGAGCTGAGACATCGCCCAGCTTTGTCTGCTCCGGGGCCAGAGCCCCATTTCCGAGGTACCTGGCCTGCTGGGGAGCCCTTGGGCATGGCTAGGAGACCCAAGTGCAAACGGAGGGTTTTCAGGCATGCTGTGCATGAGAGTGGGAGGAAAAATAGTAAAGGATTTCTACTCTGTTGTCTGCCCTGGCCCCAGCCAACTGCTCTGCACCCAGGCGGACAAGGGGCCCTTTTCTGGGGGCATTTATGGGGCCAAAGGAGCTGGCCTTAGAACCGTGCGAGTCAGGTGCCTTTCCCGGGGTCCGCCTCCCCACCTGTTAAGTGGGACAAGCAGCCTCCCCTGCAGAGGGGCAGTCCAGTGGGCATGGAGCCCAGTGCTGGCCACATAAGAGGCGCCGACAAAACCACCCCTCTGTCCCCAGCCTGCTTCTCCCCATCCCCCACCCACTTTTCTTTTCCTTCCCTTCCCCCTCTTCTCAGATGCCGGGCTTTCTAAGCCAGACAGCCAGAGACAGCCAGCTGTGTCCCGCTCCAGTGCTGCTGACTCAGCTCTTTCCCTGGTGGCAGCAGAGCAGGGCGGGTGGGAGGTGGTTCCCATCGGCTCCTTCCCTCCGCAGCCCTGGCTGTGTGCCCTGGGAATGCTGCCCGGGGCAGGGCCACACAGAGGCCACAGCCAGGGTGGACCTGATAGCTTTCCCATTGGCCAGAGCCCTTCCATCTGCTTTCCTTTCGGGCCCCACGGACCCCTGAATAGGCCTAGGGGGGCTCCGAGTGGGCTTGGGAGGGAGAAGCAGCACAGCGCCAGCTGTTGAGGAGTCTGGCTCTCATCCCGGCTTGGAGTCCTGTGTGCAGTGTGACCTTGAGCCAAAGGCTTGTCCTCCCTGTGGGACAGGTTGAGGAATTGGATTACATCATCTCTAAGGGTCGTTCCAGGCCAGGACAGTCTGCTGTCGGGTTATCCCCCACACCAGAAGGAAAACAGGCCCAGAGACGAGAGCTTGTCCAGGACAGGCAGCCCAGCGGCGGTCCGTCCTGCACACCTGGCCCGCCTGTGAGTGGGGCTGGATGGGTTTGCGGCCCCGAACCCCAGGTTTCAGTAAATCCCCCTCAGATCCCTGCACTCCTGTGCCTCCTGAGGGTGGCAATGTCACCACCTCTCCCTTCCTGGGGGACAGACCCTGAACAGCAGCCTTTGCCCTCCACCACCACGCCCGCCACGGGAACTCCAGTGGGATGGAGCTACTCTAACTCTGTAGAGCGGTAGTTCCTCTTCACGAGCTGTGTGACCTTGGGCAAGTCACAGCAGCTCGCTTTCCCCAGGCTGGGGTGGGATGCCTCGAAATAATGGAGGGAGGACCCTTTGGGTACTGGAAGCCCCTACACAGAAGAGGCCCAGCCCGGGCAGTAAGGGCTCAACAAATGCAGAGGGACAGGGTGCTGGAGGGCAGGGGACACTCCAGTGCCTTTGCCCAGGGCTCTCTGGCCGCAGAGAATCAGGGCTGCAGCCTGTCTAAACCTCCTGCAGCCTGACCAGGGGGCAGTGGAGCGGGAGGACCCTGCCCAGACCCCAGGGCACACTGTATAGGCTGCCCTCCTGTGAACTTCTGGGGGTCACTGCCACAGGGGCACGGGCTCTAGAAGGCCAGGAGGAGGAATCAATCGTGGCAAAGTTCTGGGCAGAGAGGACGACTTTGGCATCCACGGGGTGGGGTTTGGACCTGGCTGCCCCCCTGGAACCCTGCAGGTAATGCCTTTACTCGGCAAACCTTGACGGAGCCTCCCCGTGACTGGCAGGCGTGGGGCCGGGGACTGGAGTTCTACAGACACCTAGGATGTCACTTACTAGGGGCCCGTAGTACCAGGATTTGAACCCGAGGCTGCTGTGCTGGAGCCCGTGCTCTCTCCACTGTCCAGCCTAGTTGGAGGCCCCCGGCAGCAGGGTTTCGGAGCTGCCTCCCTTTCCCCAGCAACTTACAGGGAGTTCCTGGCCCTCCCCCCCTCAATTTCCCTGCCAGCACCACAGGGGCCTCAGATCCCTTCTGGCTCTGACTCTGTTGGGCCTCTGAATCCAGCAAGACCCCACCGGACCACCAAAGAGTTAAGCAAAGGAAATCCAGAGCTCCCATTAGCTCGGCAAAACCCAGCGGCGGGAGGGGAGGGACAGGGAGGAGGGGAAGTGGGAAGCCAGCTCAGCCCTCTCCCTCCGCCCTCCGTCCCTCTCTCCTCCCTCTCGCCCTGCCTCCCGCCCTCCTCCTCCTCCGCCGGGCCTGGGGGTCTGGGCCAGCAACAAGCTATTACTGCAGACATGGGCATAGGAGCTAGAGGCTGACCCGCGGCCCGGGGTCCGTGAGGCGCTGGGCGAGGCTGCAGGAGTCAGGGTGAGTGATGCAGGTCCTGCGTGTCCCACGGCAGGGCTGGGCGCCCACCCAGGAGGCTGGGGTCAGAGCCTGGAATTCCACTCCTCCCTCCTCTTCCTGGACTCCTCTCTGGCTCTGCACTACCCCACCCCCCCACCCCTGCGCCAGCCCCTCCAAGCTCTCCCTTCCCCGTGACGAAGACCTGAGCTCCTGGTGAAGGGCTGGCTACCCTCTGCTGCCCCAGCGTGTGCCCACTAACGCTGCTGGGGTGCTCACCCTGCCCCCACCCCAGAGAGACCCCAGCTGCCGAGTGGAGGCAGCAGGGACCCCCTGGTCACTCCTGACGGCCCTGTCCCTCACACTCCCTGCCTGGACCCTCCCCCACAGCCAGTCAGTGATGCTGGCTGTCGTTGTTACTACTTCTAGTCAATCCACTTTGCTTCCTGCTTCCTGCTCCCCAGGCCACAGTTCACACCTCAGAGCTTTTGATGTCACCTGGCTGGAGCCCACAGAAAGGCCCCCAAACTGAGCCCGTCCTCCTCGCTCTGTCCTGGGTTGTTGGCACTGGGCAGAGGGCATACTGGGCGAGGAAGGAGCAAACTTTTTATTGAGTCTTTTTTACAAGTCAGGCAATTGCCCCGTGTTTAAATCCTCCCGGACCACCTGGGAGCGAGGTGGGGTGACATCCCCCTCCCTGAAGGCCAAGGAGCAGGAAGCCCAGAGGGTGCAGCCTCCAGCCCGGGGCCCCATAGCTTGTAAACTGCCCTGGGATTTCAAGTCTGACTCCGAGGCCTCACCTTTCCCCACAAGTCACATGCGGGCCAGGAAAAACAGGATTTTTGCTTTTCTCAAAACCACTGGGATGTGTAGTTTGCAAATAAAAGGCAAGGGTAATAATCTTAGACAGGAAGGGGGTTGGTCTGTGAGGATTTGACCGGCCTTACTGGGGAGAATTGGGAAAGTGGCCGAGGGTGCAGGGAGAGGAGCTGGGGACTGGTCACCCCCAGGAGGGGTGATGGCTGGGGAGGCTGCCTGGCACCCCTCCCTTTTGCTCCTCCTTAGCCCCGGGGAGGGGGAGGTGTTCAGGGCAGAGCTCCTGCCCCTTTAAAACCTAGCTCTTCCTGCAGCGCTCCGCAGAGATAGGATGGCATTTAAAATAATAATTTTACCTCCTCTACATGTATTAACCGCAGAAAAATATTTTTGAATTGTACTAAATGTTAGAGAACAAAAAGGAAATAAACAAAGAAACGCCAGAAGTGTAAAAACCAGTCTAGTTTCAAAAGCCGAGTTTCCGATCCTGCGATAACTCGGCGCCAGCCCCCGAAGCCTGCCACCACCTCAAAGGCCCTTTGCCCGGCTTCCTGCCCACCCAGCCCCGGCCTCTCTCCAGCAGCTGGTGTCCAGGCCACTTCCTGCCCCTCTCCAGGAACTCCGGATCCCTTCTTTTTTTTTTTTTTTTTGCCAAGGCCGAAGCAGATCCTTGTAAATCTTTGTACTTCGCTGATCCTTTTGAATTTTCCAGATTCCCTAGTCCTGCCCCTTAATTCCAATTTGCCACCTTGGCAGCTGATTGGCAGGTCTAGTGTGATTGACACAAGCGCTTTCCAATGATTGGACTCGCCTGAGGCTTCCCTGCAGGGTTTCTGCGTAAGGTTACGGTGGAGGCTGCGGACTGCACAGAGACGCCAGCCCCTGCCAAGCCCCGCGCTCAGCGGTGCATTCTCTTGTTTCTAATTTGTCCCTCCCCGGGAGCACCTTCCTCTGCCCTTGCACAAAGGCACCACGTAGGTCCGCAATGGCCTGCAGCCTGTGACTCAGCATACCTACTCCTGACCGCTCAACAATAGAACAATAACCCCACGCGCGCTCTCTGGCTTTCTCTGATGGAAGTCGCTACCTGTGTGCTAGAATACACGGACTTTCCTAGCTCCTTTGTCAGGGCCATTGTGTTCGTGCCCCAGACCAAGGCTCAGCCCCGGGTCCTCTCTCCTAAAGAGCAAGCCTGTGCTTGTGTGTGTCCCAAGGGCCTGCCCATCTGCCAATGTTTAGAAAATAAGCCAGAGGGAGGTAGGGGGGAGGTGGGAGGGTGGGAAGAGCATTTTACAGTCTCGGAGGTTATGACCCAAGGGCAGCTGGGGCTTCTCCCTCCCCACCATGCCGCCCCGCCCCCAGCCTTCTCTGCTCTTGGCCGGGACTCTCCTTAAAGGGGCTTCTTCCTTTGGGGCCCTTGTGTGGCGGAGCCTCTGGGGACTGGGCTCCTTCTGGGAGACTCAGCCTGCAGGCCCTGCCCTGCCACGGGTCTCTGTGACCTTGAAGACCTCGCTTCTCTGCGCTGACCTCAGTGTTCTTGTCTGTGAAGTGGGGGTGTGGTGCTCCCTCCCTCCCTGAGGCCTGTCAGCTCCGCCCTTGCTATGGGTTATGTGCTGGTCACGGGCACCAGGGAGAGGGTAAATAAAGTACAGTTCCTGTCCCTCCTTCCCTGCTCCAGGTCGCCATGGGGACAGCTGCCCCGGATGTCCTCTGGGCGGTGCTCCTGCTCCCTCTCTTGGTGTTTGGGGTCCCCACGGAAGAGCCCACCTCTGGGGAAGCTGTGGCCTCCCATGCCCCTGGGCACTGCCGCTGGTGCTGTGACTCTGACTCTGAGGACCACCTGGCCCCTGCCGATGCCGCAGACGTGTCCCCGGTCTCTCCATCCACCCTTCCATACGTGTTGCCTGAGGTCAGGCCCTACATTAACATCACCATTCTGAAGGGTGAGTGCCCGAGAGTGGCTCCAGTGGGACTGGCCCGGGCAGGGACAGGGAGGGCGTCACACAGTTGTCAGGCAGAGTTGGGATCTGTCCCTAGAGTCTCCACAGGGCCACCCCACCTCACAGCCAGCGGTGGGCTGGTGTCTGAGACCTTCCTGGGCCTGGGGGAGGTGAGGTGGTGGAAGTAGCAAAAACGAGGACAGAAAATTGTTCCAGACTCTCTTTTTTTTAAGTGCACACATTAATTGAGCACCTACTGTGTCAGGACTGTTCTGCATTCTGGGGCTAGAGCATGAACAAATCAGACAGAGATACCTACTGCCCCTGAGTTTCCGTCCTAGTGGGGGAGGCAGACAGGAGTGAACATACTACCCAAGTTAATGAGACAGAATGTTCCACAGGGATAAATGCCATGGAAATGGCAAGGTGGGGCAGGGTAAGGGACATTGGGAGTGCAGGTAAGGGGGCAGGCTGCCTCTCAAACAGGGCGGTCAGTTCTCACTGGAAAGGTGAGGGAGGGGCCATGTGTATCTGGGAAAGAGCATTCCAGATGGAGGGAACAGCAGGTGCAAAGGGCCTGGGGTAGAGGTAGGCCTGGGGTTTTTGAGGAGCAAGGGCAACAGAAGGAGCTGCAGTTAAAGATGAAACAGGGCCCAGATCAGACTTGGGTTTCTCTTCTGAGTGAGATGGGGAGCAGGACAGGGTTGGAGCAGAGAGGAGACCTGATCCGACTTAGGTTTCAAATGGATCCCTCTGACGTGCTGTGGGGAATCCACAGCAGAAGCACGGGTGGAAGCAGGGAGACCTGCGGAGGGCCACTTGGGCCACGCGGTGAGTGCTGGCTCCTTGTCCTCTGCGTCAGGAGTCAGACCTGAAGGGAGTTCCTGGTGCTCTCCTGGGCTGGGGCCAGGCCCCCGGCACCCGGAGCCTCCACTGGTGCTCACACAGCCCCGGGGTTGGCACCTTGTGGTTCCTCCCTCCCGGTCTGCAGATGGGGAAGCCGAGCCTCTGAGAGGGAGGAGCTCTCCTGGGGTCACACAGTTGTCAGGTAGAGTTGGGATCTGTCCCTAGAGTCTCCACAGGGCCACCCCACCCCACAGCCAGCGGTGGGCTGGTGTCTGAGACCTTCCTGCCTTTGGATTTTCTAGGTGAGGACACCTCCCTTCCTCGAGCCCCTATCCCCACCACCCCATCAATCAGAGCCTCCCCGAGGCCCACAGAACCTCCGTGTAAGGTCGACAGGTGCCTGGCTGCAGATGGCAGGCACCCCACACGACCCTCCCCCCAAACCCTTCACCACTGCTCCTGAGCCAGGCTTAGCTGCCTGCCAGGGGGAACAGGCAGCTTGCTGTTGCAAAAGGTGCCAGGCTGGCAACACGCGTCCCAGGCCCCAGGCCCAGGTCTTCCGCTCCCTGGCTGTGTGGGTCAGACTGGTCTCTCCCTCCCTGGGCTCCCTGCCTCATTGGTAAGAAGGAGAAGGTAACCCTCTCCTATCACCGCCTTCGCCTGCTCCCTTGGGGTGAAGCAAGAGCTCTGCACACTGTCAAGTGTGGTGCCCGTGGTGGGGCAGTCACCTCTCCGAGGAGCCGTTGAGCCAGACCTCCGCAGAGCGCTGCCCCCTTTCCCCCTTCTCTCTAGGCTTCTCCCCCAAGGGCCGGCGTCCTCCTTCCGCCCCTTCCTCCTCTCTCTCCCGTGTTGCCGTGGTCAGAGGGGCCCCGGGAAAACACCGGGCAGTGCCGTTCACTCCAAGGGGCGTGGCTCATGGTGCGATTTCCGGCTCCGTGACGGGCGGCAGGGAAATATTTGGGATCAGGTCCCTCAAGACTTAAGTAGCCACCTGCTTCTCGTGTTCAAGGTCAGCCTGGAGCAAGGGCTGAGCAGACATGTGTCTGCCGGGGGGTCAGGGCCGGTGCTGCCAGACCCTGGGGCAGGTAGGTGGAGACGGACCAGGCAGTGCTGGGTGAACCGCCCTGCTTCGTATTTGCAGAATCAAATTTGCAGAGTGCGCTCAGTTCTCAGCACACTCTCCCATCGGCATTTTGTGGAGGGCTCACGGACACCCCTGTGAGGTGGGCACGACCCGGGTGGCACAGTGGGGCGTAATGCCAGCTAAGGGCTGCCTGGCTCCTAACCGGGGCGTTTCCCTCCCCGTGCGCGGAGGTTTTTTCCTTCCTTCGTTCCCTGGATCAGAAAGGAAAAGCGCGCCTGCCATTCCCGCATCCCCACTGCAGTGCGGCTGCGCACAGTGAGGGGCGGGGCTGCTGGGCCTGGCCTCCCAGAGCCACCGTTGTAGGAGCTTCACTGGAGGGGGGGAGGGGGAGGGGGGGAGGGGGGAGGGGAGGGGAGGGGGAGGGGGAGGGGGGAGGGGTGGGAATAGTTGGGACTGTGCAGTTGGAGTCCTGTGTCTCCTGCTCCTGAGCTGCGGGACCCTGGGTGGTCACTTAACCTCTCTGTGAGTGAGAGACAACCGCGGTGTCTTCTTTAGAAGGGCATGCAGGGAGGCACTGCCTGGCGTGCAGTAGGTGCTCGATAAATTCTGGCTTCTTCTCCGGGCAGGGGCAGGCCCTCCACAAACAAGTGCGGGTACCCCCCTTCGTTAGGCCCGGCTGCTCCGGTGCCTGCCCTGACTTCTCCCTTGTTCCCACAGGTGACAAAGGGGACCGAGGCCTGCTGGGCACGCCTGGGAAGCTGGGCAGGGAGGGTCCCCGGGGAGAGCGAGGCCCCCAGGGCAGCAAGGGCGACAAGGGGCAGGCGGGCAGCCCTGGCAGCCCGTGCCAGACTCGCTTCTCAGCCTTCTCCGTGGGCCGGAAGACGGCCCTGCACAGCAGCGAGGGCTTCCAGCCGCTGCTCTTCGACACCGTCTTCGTCAACCCCGACGCGCACTTCGACATGGCTGCCGGCCACTTCGTCGCCCCTCTGCACGGCCTCTACTTCTTCAGCCTCAACGTGCACAGCTGGAACTTCAAGGAGACCTACGTGCACGTCATGCACAACGAGGAGGCGGCCGTCATCCTGTACGCGCAGCCCAGCGACCGCAGCATCATGCAGAGCCAGAGCGTGATGCTGGCCCTGGCGCCGGGCGACCGCGTCTGGGCACGGCTCTTCAAGCGCGAGCGTGAGAACGCCATCTACAGCGATGACGTCGACACCTACATCACCTTCAGTGGCCACCTCATCAAGCCTGAGGACGATTAGTGCCTCCAGCAGGGCAGCTCTGGTGCTGGGGGGTGGCGGCCAAGGCAGGTCCCATCCCCGGCAGGGCCTCAGTGTGCCCCTCTGTAAAGTGGGCGCACAGAGCGGCATTCTGGGTAGCCCTCTTCTTCCTTCTTTCCTTCCCAGTCTGTTCCTTCTGCTCTCCTCTCTTGGGCATATTTTAAGAAGCCTTCTAACCTAAATATTCCAGAACTTTCCCAACCTCTTATACCAGCAATTTTCAAGCTTGAATGTGTCCGAGAATCACCTCAGGATCAGGCTCCGAGGCAGGTCCTGACCCAGCAGACACGGAGTGCGCCAGGATTCCTCATTTCTAATGAGTTCCTGGGTGCCGCTCCTGCTGCCGGTCTGTGGACTCCAGTGGAGTAACAAGCTTCCAGAACTTTCGCAACATTCTAGTACTTCCTGAACCTTCTGGAATCCTGTAAACATTCTTGAATCATCCCAACATCCTTAAACATTCTCATTTCTCTAGGACTCCCGTCTCCTCTGTCCCCTTGCCCCTCCCTCCCCCTCCCTCACTGTCTCTCACTCTCCTCTGCACGCCGGCCTGGGCAGCCGCTCATTCAGTCATTCATCTAACACTGACTGAGCCAGTGCACACTCTGTGCCAGGCCCTGGGGGGCGGGGAGCGGGGTGGATGGGACACAGACCCCACCCTCGGTGAGGGCGCAGTCCAGCCGGTCAGGGAGACTCAGGGCTCTGAGGCCTGACCCACAGAGATGCACGGTGCTTTTTTCACACATGCGTCTGGGTTCCGGGCGTTCAGACCCTGTGGCCCCTCACTACCCACGACTCCCCAAGGCTGGCAAGGCAGGGTCCCCGAGGTGGGGGTGTTCCCTGCCTCCTCTCATTCCTGCTCAGTGTCTGCCGTTAAGGCAGATCCCCGATGAAGCCTTGGTCAGGGCAAGGGTGCTATAAGGGTGGACCCAGGGGCTTGGGGGTATTTTGGGGTGAAGGTGGACCCCTGGGGGAGGTGTCCTAGAACCCTAGCTTCCATGGTGTCACCGGTTCTCTAGGCTTTAAGGTGCTGAAGCCCCAGCAGGGTCTCCTCTGGCCAGGTGCTGCATCTAGAAATGTGAGGACGGAAGGCCCCAGGCTTTGGACCCCTCAGCAGGTCTGGGGGCTGAAGCAGGTCACATTCCAGTCCATCAGGGGGGACCCTCCTCCGAGCCATGACGCCAAGAGAGGCCCAGGCCAAGGAAGGGACATCAGGCTTTTCGTCCCTTCTTCCACGCCCAGGGTGGGGCAGCCCGGCGGCCCTCAGCTTTCTCTCCCCCACACCCCCACGCAGGAGGCCTGCCCCTCTGCCCTGAGTGAGGTGGTCTCCGGCCTTTGGTGCTTATGCAGACTCCGGGAAGAGGGGCCCGGGGGTGGTCTCTGGTGCTCGCTTACAGCCTGAGGGAGCCACGGCTGCGTGGCGGGTGACGTCAGCAGGGCCTGACCAGGTGCGGAGGCTGGTGCTACACATTGTCCCGGCTCTTCCGCATCCTGCCCCGCTTGGTCAGTGTGATTAAAGGTTGCATGTCTTCTTGGCAATCCGGCCTGGTTCTTTCTGCTCCGCCTTGGGAGGGCAGCTGGTCCTGGGTCCCCCTGGGTCCCCTGGGTGCCCTGGGTGCCCTGGGTGCCCTGGGCCCAGATGCAGAGCTCCAGAGAGACTGAGATGGCCCAGAGCTCCCCTCTACAGGCCCCCCACCCACCAAGAGACCAGTCACTCCGGCAGCCAGTGCGCTCTGGAGTTACTGGGACCAGTTCAGTGTCTGCTGTGTGGAGGGGGTTTGAGACTGGACAGGGAGCTGTGAAAGGCCTCAAATATCAGGCTAGACCTGGACTTGAACTCCTCGGTGCTAGGGAGCTGCCAGAGGACTGTGAGCAGTGCAGTCACTGGTTAGGGCCGATTCAAGAGGCAGGGCAGTCTGGCGGCCAGGTGGAGCATGGGCTCTGGAGGCTTTGGCTGGAGGCAGTTCTCGGGTGGGCTGTGGTCCAGGGGAGTACGAGGAACAACCCCTGGAAATTGTGAATGTCATCCTGGGGGGGAGGGCCATGTGGCCACTGGACTTCAAAGGAGGCAAGAGACTTACTAGCAGAAGGGAGGGAAGAGGAGCCGGCTGGGGGTCCAGCTTGGGTCCAGCATCTACCAAGCAGTACTGCTCCTGTACCCGGAAAAGACACCGGCGCTCGGGCTGCCTGTCACTACCAAATCCAATAAGCAATGACAGCGATTGAATCTTTTATAGGAGGCTTATTCAGATGGCCGGCGACCCGAGAAGATGGCGGATTCATACCCTAACAAACCATCTTCCCCTGTCTTTCCTGGCCAGATCTTTTATAAGGGGGTTGGGGGAGGGCAAACAAGGGTCAGTGAGAGCTTTGAAATTCAACAGCTGTCTCCAAGGGGGAGGGGTAGTCGCCTGCTTCTTCCCGGTAGGGATGTCTCCAGGCTAGGGACGGTAGGGATGTCTCCAGGCTAGGGATGTCTCCAGGCGGTAATCTCTAGCCAGCGCCCCAGGAGGTCAGCTGCTTTTTCTCAGGCGCCAGGATGGGTCTTATCTGTAGTTTCTGAAACAAAAGCTTAACATACACATTACTTGCTAGATTTATGGCTATTTACCTTAAGCTAAAATTTTCCAAGTCTTAAGCCCCTATCACTCCTACAAGGCTTTTCCCCAACAGTGGGAGTGGGGCAGGCCTGGGGGCAGGAAGCAGACACCCCCAGCGAGTCCCTGACTGACTCGAGGACTGGAGGATGCTGGGTAATTCCTCTGTCCTCGTGGGACCCCCACCACTATCCTGACCTGTCCATCGAATTTAAAATCTCCCTGCTTCTGCCCCATTGAAGCCTTTGGGGGTACTTGACGCTGTATCCATGATTGTATTTTCAAATCCTCAAATTAGAACCTTTGGACTAACTATGGCGCAGAAAAGGTGCAATTACTGCTGATTGTTCCGGAAAATATAAAGCGCATGCGACATGGCCAGCATTTTCAGAGACGCTCAAATTTCAGCGCGTAGGCTCTGGAGCCCTGCCAGGGTCCACATTTCTTTACAACGGCTCCTGGCTCAGGACGGGCAACGTGATTTTCCCGTATGTGTGACCTGGGCTTGTCCCTTCCTCCTCCCCGCCAGTCTCGGTTTTTTCCGAGTGAGGAGTGTGACGGGGTTTCGTGCATTCTTGGTGGCGGCACACAGCACACAGTGGGTGCTCAAAAGGACATTTGTCAGGTGAATGGCTGTGCCCAGCACAGCAGCGGCAGGAAGCAAGAGCCAGGAGCTGAAACCTGACCGGCTCCCCCTCCTCCCGCCAGCTCCAGGCCCCTCCCAGTAGCCACACACTGCCACGTGTACCTCTGGAGGAAGGGAAGAACACGGGCAGAAACTCCACACGACCAGAAACGGATGGCCAGAACATTGTGGGCGGGGCCCGCAGCGGCCGGGAGCCAGAGAGGAAGGAGGGATTTCCACTACACGAGTCAGGAGCGAGCAGGGCCAAGCCGCAGGGCTGGGAGCCTGTGGCTGGCCAACCCCAGCCAGACGGGCGGGCGTGCGGGCGGGCGGGCGGCTGGGATTGCAGGGCAGGGTCGGGGTGGCGGTGTTAGCCAGAGGAAGGGGTGGCTGGGGTCCAGGGACACCGAGGAGCCGGGGGACCCTCTGCAGGGTGGCAGTGTGGGCTGGGGGTGCAGGTGGCTGGTCTTCGTCTGGCTGACCGCCTTTCACCACTGGAGGCGATGAGCTGACGCCACAAACTCAGACATACATGAAATAGACCTTGTTTATTTCTCCACGTCTCGACTTGACTTGCATTAGGCACTTCCTGTCTGCCGACGTCAGAGGGACGTGCCTCGGCCAGCTGGGGTTCCGGGGCTCCTCTCCCACCACACTTCTAGGGGTCGGGGCTGCATGGCAGTGCCCCTCCCCGGCCGTGGGCAGGAGTCGCCTAGTGCGGCGCGTCCTCGTGACATCATGTCATGTCCTGGGTTTGTCAATGTCCCACCCGCCCTGGGCTCCTGGTTCTGCCCACTTACCTGTGGAGTCGTGTTCATTCCTGCGGAGCCCCCCGGCCCTCACCCCTCACGGGGCCCAGAGAATGGCAGGCCCCTCTGCCCGGGTGCGCACCTCACAAATAATTCTGTGTCCCCCAGGGGGCTGTCTGAGCCCAGCCCCATCCGCCTGGATCCGGCATGTGGCCGTTGCTGTCTCGGGGCCTCTGCTGTCTCCCGGGGTTCTGCCTGGGGAGAAGGGACGGCCCCTCTGAATCTCAGGTGCCCACACCGGCTGGGGAGCTTCCTTGAGTTCGATGGGGGCCACCGGAGGGGCCCTGCCTGGGTTCACGTCTAACCAGGTGAAGGAGGGCAGGCGGCCTGACCTCTCTGAGCTTCGGCTTCTTGACCCAGAAAAGGGGGTGACGGTGGCAGCCTCTACCCCGCAGGACTGGTGTGGGGACTGAAGAAGTAAGTGTATGTGAAAGACTGGCGTGCAGTAGGCTCTCTTGTGTGCCAAATACCATCATAAGGCGGACACTTCACTCATTCGTAGGAGAAGAAACTGTCAAGTGCAGAGAGACGGGAGAATCTCCTCCACGTGGTGTGTGTTCGTTCATTCACCCGGTGCGGACTGACCGCCTGTTCCACAGGCTCTGCTCTGTGCTGGGCCCGGGGCAAAGCAGTGAGAGACGAGGTGCCCACCTGGTCCGGTCCCTGCCCTCACGCGGCCGGGCGTCAGGCGGGGGAAGCGGGGGAACAGATGCCACGCAGCTCATCCCACCAGGACCTCAGATCAGGGTAAGAGCTCTCAAGGCATCGTGGGAGAAGCTAATGTGGAAGTGGGGGAGGAAGAGGCGGGTCAGCTGAGACCCGGAGGGTGGAGGGGTGGGCACAGGCACAGGCCTGGAGGGAGGACCCTGCTCAGCACTTCCCAGGAACTGAAGGAAGGCCGGGAGGCAGGAAGGAGCCAGGCTCCCAGGACCTGGGATTTGGGTCCATTCGATGGGCAGCACCAGAAGGAGTTTCGGGTCACGGGGTCAGAGGTGGACCCAGGATTCAAACCCAGGCCTTTCTAAGAAGCATCTGCCCCTGAGCTGTTATTTCTCAGAGGACAGCTGGAGGACGCCACGCCTCCTCAGGCTCTTCTGGCTGGTCTCCAGACAGGGCAGGACCCTCAGAGGAGTTTATGGGGAGCTTGTGCCCTTGGGCCTTGACACCCTCCGCCAGCCAGCGGGGCGTGCCGAGCCACCGGCGCGGACTGGTGGGGCCAACTGTGTGCGTCTGCTCCAAACTCCGCCTTCAGAGACGCAGGATGTTGGCTTGGAAACAGCCATGGTGGCAGTGCTTCCACCGTGGAAATTGGCAGATGTTACCATTTTAATTTTTTTTTATTTTTAAAGATTTTATTTATTTATTTTTAGAGAGGGAAGGGAGGGAGAAAGAGAGAGAGAGAGAGAAACATCAATGTGCGGTTGCTGGGGGCCGTGGCCTGCAACCCAGGCATGTGCCCTGACTGGGAATCGAACCTGTGACACTTTGGTTCGCAGCCCGCGCTCAATCCACTGAGCTACGCCAGCCAGGGTTACCATTTTAATTTTCACAGAACAAGGCTGTCATTAGAACTGCAGCCCTTGGTGATGAAAGGATCTTCCCCGGAGCATCTGCCACCATCACAACCGCCATTCATAGGAGACCGGGGTCTTTGAGGTCCCTCTCCCACCGGGAGTCCCAGCAGGCTTGGTGGGGGCAGGGCCTCGAGAAGGAGGTACCCCAAGTGTGGTCCCCAGGCTCAATGACCTCTTTTCCTGACACCCCCTCACCCTGCCACGGTCCACCTCCCCTCCCAGCGCCTGTCTCTCTACTCTGCCCCCTGGTGGCCAGGGTGGTTAATGGCTCCACGGGAGGCCCCAGCCCCAGGGCCCAGCCTGGGTCCTGTTCCTGGGATTTGGGAAGCAGAAGGCACCGCCTGTTGGCTGGATGAATAGGAGTCCTGGAATTTGGGGAGTTTAGTGGGGTGTGTGGGGGGGGGGCCTTCCCTGTATGCTCCAGCCGAGCGAGACCCAGGTGGTGGTGTTTCATTTTGTATTGTTTTGTTTTGTTTTGCTTTGGACTGCAGGTAGGGGTGGACACCGTGACCATCGCTAAGGGAAAGCGGTGCGGGAGGAACGGAGGGCTGGGGCCGGCGGCTGTCTCAGAAGCCTCGGCAGTCGGGCCGGGAGAAGGAGGCAAACTCATTTCTGACCAGCACCAGCTAAAGGAAGAGGAGGAGTCGCCTGAGTTAAGTTCCCCGCTCTGTCTGGGTGTGAAGTGGGATAAAGGGTTCTGGAAGGCTGGAGGCCTGAGTTCAGGCCCCCACCCACCCCCTGCTGTGTGACCTGAGGCTGGTAGCTGCACCCCTCGGGGCTCAGACCCGTCCTCTGTGCAGAGAAGAGATAAACGTGAGAGCCCCCGAGCTCCCTTGCAGGTCGCTGGGTTTGGCCTTTTTCTTTCTCGGGCTCCCCTCACACTTTCTTCCTGGAGCCCAGAGTCCCTGCCTTCTCCTGCATCCCCTCCGCACCT